CATCATATCAACCTTTAGAAAAATGGACAAGAGATAGTTCGAAAAAAAGTAGTCATTGGAAATCCTCAAGAAGATGTTACGACTAGAGCTCAAATTCGAGCAAAGAATGAGGTACTAAATGAACATCAAGAGTTTTGTATGTTTAGTGTGTTTATTTCGAAAATTGAACAAAAAACCATTAAGGTTGCAATGGAACACTCAGACTGTGTTGTTGCAATGCAATCTAAATTGGTTGAGTTTGAAAAGAATAAGGTTTGGAGGTTAATTCCTAAACCTGAAAATGTTTCGATTGTCAGAATAAAATGGATTTTCAAAATTAAAACCAACAAGGATGGAAATATTATTCAAAATAAAGCCAGAATTGTTGTAAAATGCTATTCACAACAAGAAGGAATAGACTATGAAGAAACTTTCGCCCCTGTCGCAAGACTTGAGGCAGTTCAAATATTTTTGGCTTATGTAGCTCAATAAATTTCGATGTCTATCAAATGGATGTGAAGTGTGAGTTTTTGAATGGAGAGCTGGAAGAAATTGTGTATGTGGAACAACCTCCAGGATTTATAAATGAAGAACATCCTGATTATTGAAATATTTTAGATAAGACAGTTTATGGGTTAAAACAAGCACCCGGAGCCTGGTATGCAACTTTAACTTCTTTCTTAAACCAATCGAAGTTTAAACAAGGATCAGTTGAACCCACATTATTTTGAAAGAAAGTTGAGAATCATCTAATGCTTGTTCAGATTTATGTTGATGATATTATTTTTGGCTCAACTGACCCTACTTTTTCTAAAGAATAGGAAAATATGATGAAAAGCAAATTTGGGATGAGTATGATGGGAAAAATCAATAGTTTTCTTGGGTTGAATATTCGTCAAAACAGAGAAGAAATTTTCATCAACGAACAAAAATATACCAAGAGTTTGCTCGAAAAATTTGGATTGATGAATAGCACAAACTAGACCTGATATCATGTTTTCTGTTTGTAATTGTGCTAGGTATAAGTCGAATCCACGAGAACCACATCTCACTACAGTCAAGAATATTATTCGTTATCTCAAAGGATCAATTTCGTTAGAGATTGTGGTATCCTTCGAAAACTGGATTCTTCACTCAAGCATTTTTAGATGCTGACTTAGGTGGTTGCAATTTGGATAGAAAAAGCACAAGTGGAGGTTCTCAATTACTAGATGGGAAATTGTTAAGCTGGCAGTCGAAGAAGCAAACATGTGTTTCAATTTCGATCGTAGAAGTTGAATATGTTGCTGCGGTAGCCTGTACTTCACAAATCATTTGGATTCAAAGTCAATTGCTTGATTATGCAATAAACATGAAAAAGATTCCATTATATTATGACTCACAAAGTGCTAAACTTATTTGTCACAATCCAGTTCAACATTCGAAAACCAAACATATTGCACTTTGCTATCATTTCATAAAAGATCATGTTGAAGATGGCAATATTGAAGTTCATTTTGTGAAAACTACTGATCAGCTTGCTGATATTTTTACAAAATCATTGGATGAAAAATCATTTGTTAGAATTTTGACAGGTTTGGGAATGGTCGAAGGGGAGTCTGTTTCGAAAGAATAAAGAAAATTTGACAGCTCTCAAAGTCAAAGGTTATTGTTCATAGTCAACGCTTCGATATGCTTCGCTTTTGATATTTTGGGAAAGAAACGATTCGAAAGTTTGGTAAACCTTTATTTTTCGTTTTTTTACTTTCTTCGAAAAAATTGAAAAACCAAAAAGATTTTCTTTTGTTATTTGTCTTACTATCGAAAATCAAAAATACCAAAAAGATTTTTGTTTGTTTAGAATTTTCATTATCGAAAAATCAAAAATACCAAAAAGATTTTCATTTGTTTAGTCTTTTCATTTTCGAAAAATCGAAAACAACAAAAACATTTTGTTAATTGTTTAATAGTCCTTTTCTAGTGATTTGTTGCAGATATTCAAAATAGTAATTATGGTTGAATTTTGAAGATGTAGGGTCAGGTAATTTTTCGAAAAACTTTGTACTAGTTAGGCTGTCCCTAAAAGCATGTTGTTGCATGTCGAATCAAACCTCCATTGACTCAATGTGTGATTTTGAAAGCCTTAATGAAATCTTTTCGTACGAAAGATTTCTTCCCAATCAGGCTTGTATTCACATTATTCTTCTCAGCTACCTAACTCTTCTCAAATGAGTTAAGAGTTTTCTGTTTGGTCCAAACAAAACAGAGGTACAATTGACTTCTTCAAACCAATCTTTTTCATCTCAAAGTCCTTACACTTTTCACACATAATGACATATGTCCAAAAGGTCCTGATCAAATCAGTCGAGACTTAGACATATCAACATTCTGTGTTACTGATCTGGCATCATGAAGCCGTGATGAAAGTGAAACCTAATTTTCTAAAACTTGTTAAGGAATTGATGGGTAACTATGTTCTAGATTTTGACGAAACATTTGTTTTGGTACCAAAATTTCAAAACTCCAACTCGTATTCACTTCTTTTGAGTGGTCGTGAACAAACTATCGAAACCCACGATGTTTGTTACCCAACAGGATCTAGCATAAATATTTTTTTTCTTGATTATGATTTCCATGTGAGTTTCATTTTCTTTCTAAGTCACTTAAAATATTTTTTTCAAAGCAACTGACTACACTCACTACTAGAAAAACAACCTTTTATGATGCGCAATGTGTGTCGTAAAACGCTCAGACGACGCACAAATGCGTGTCAAGAAAGGCCTTGTCATAAGGAGAGACGACTCGCTTTTTCGCATCATCTATAGAAAACACGCATTTACGACGAGCATTTATGACACACAAGGCGTATCATTAAGGTCGCTGTCCAGAAAGGTCATGTCATAAATAAAGATGACACACATTTTTGCGTATCGTAGTTTTATTATTATTTTTTCAAAAAAGTTATTTATATATTTACTAATTTTCAAATTAAATTTTCATTTCATGTCTTATAATAGAAAATAAAATACCATATACAAAAAGACAATATATTGCACAAAAGTTAATGTCATACAAAAATACAATACATTGTAATAGATTGGTATGAAGGGGATCTAATTGTACATTGCTATTAAGAGGTTTTCCCTAACTACATAACCAAGTCTAAATGAAAGTATCCACTATCCATGGCCTTCTCCCAGTTGTGTTAGATTCCGGACGAATTATCCTATATATTAATAAAAAATCTAACATTTACATATAGCAATAAATAATAATAATAGCCATAAGATAAGTAAGTAGAATTACCCTGTTGGTTGTCTTCCTCATTAAGTTGCACCTCATTAAGCTGCACCTCACGTGCCTCCTCTTTTGATGTCTTCTGTTTATCTAGATTAACCAAAAAAAAAGTAAAATACACATACTATAGGACAACTTACGTCAAGATTCTTGCTAAACATATGAGTTGAGTGATTTTACAGTGCTTGTTAACAAAATTACCCGCATACAAAAAATTTGTGTTCCATCCAGTCCCCATACTCGACATGTACAATCCTCGTTGATAGTGATGATTAACTGAGACCAGAATTACCCCCATACAAAAAAGTAATTAGTTCTCTTGCTAAAACATACACATTTCAAAAAAGTAATGAAAACAGATTAGACAGCATTTCCTAATGGCGGAGGAAAGCACAAAATAAATCAGGGAAAGTTTGTAGAATTAGGACTTAGGAAAGTTGTTTGTTGAAATGAAAGGGTAAAATGGTCATTTAGCACTTTATCCAGACTAGACAACCTCACCCATTCAGTCATGTCCATGTTAAGTCAATTAAGTAAATGAAAAAAATAGTACCTTTGCTTTAAGAGTTTCATAAATGGTAACATAGTTTGATTAATTATGAAAATAATCTTCCTATCTTCTGTAGGCTCAATAAGTCTCTTTAATTCTTTTATAAGAGCACCAGCAGCATTTGTATCATAGAGATCTAGAGAAGAGAAAAAACCCAACTAAATCTCCAAACAAAGAATACCACAAGCAGGGAAGCTGAACCTAAAGTATTGGAATCTGGTGCATTGAAAACAGAACAAACACATAACGGAAAAACCTCAGAAGAATTCAAGTAATCAAGTCATAAGAGCATGTCAAGATTCTAGTGACATGAGTTATAAGAGGAAGTAAATAGGCCATACCTTCCTACACCAGAGGAAAAGCGAACACTGTAATACACTATAATAGACCATATAATAGCTTCAACACCAGAGTAGGGAACAGGGAGAATCCAACTAGAAATAGACCAAGCCCATGAAGGATAGAAATTATTATCCATTTGCTTATAAAATACGAATACTCGGAATATCATAAGTGGGAGTTATGAAAATCCATTGAACATTATGTGAACAAATGCAAAGAATAAGCATCCAAGATGTAGGCTTCCATCTATTACATCTATGTGATGCAATATTGTCCTTATAAAGAGTGTGCATGTAATAAATCCAACAAATGCAACCTGTAGGTCATGTGATAGATAAATATTATGTCACATTTCCAAATCAGACAATCAATTACAACTTACAAGCACAAGTATACCCTCTAGAGTTTGAGGGGGTGTTAGAAGTTAATACTTTGTGTAATCTCTTTAATTACAACATACATCACGGGGTAGTATTTATGTAAACAAAAAAGTAAGAGATAAATCATACCTGGATGGTCTTGAAAATGTAAAGAAAACTATGCCTTTTGATCAATAGAAATTCTCTTGAAAAACAAGCTTGGAAAAGCCTCCATTTTGATACGCCATACTCATTTTTCCTCAAAGCTGACACATGACCGTTAGATTTATCAAAGCGTGCTGAATGGGAAGACTCCAGAGACCTTCCATAGATGAACTTTTTTAAGCCTCATAAATACTTGAAACTAGAGTGTATTCATATGGTTTTGAAGAATCGGCCCAATATCGAGCCTGATCTTTTTTTGATGTGACCTATATAAATTCACACATCCGCATCAAAGTTTCCTGGTAAAAAAGTTATAGTCTAGAAAAATATCAAATACCTCTTAAAATTAAATCTGCAGTGCCTTTACGTAGGGGCTTTTGAAAACCTAATGAATCAAATAACTGAAGCAGTTGTTCTCGTTGACCTTCATATACCACATGACCTTCTGATAATACAACCAGATCATCAAAGAGATCAAATGTTTCAGGTGCAAGATGAAGAAGAGCCATCAGAACTGTGGCTTCAATTTGATGAAAAAAATTCTTTATGCATTTCACATTTTGATACGTTGTTGAGCTATCTAGTCCAGTTGATAAGATAAAAAGTAATCAGTAAAAAAATATCAACACCCAGAATCAATGATTCAAGAATCCATCTTTCAAACATTATTTCAGTAAATCATTCTTGTCAAAGATAAGATAAAAAGTAATCAGTGAAAAAATATTAACACCCGGAATCAATGATTCCATAGGTAAAAAAAACTTACATCGGAATCAAAACACTGTAAAGGGCTTCTGGAATCAGCTCTACCATGGGAATGGGGTGATGATGCTGATGCTTTCTCATTTCCCCCTCCTTTAGGGCTTCTGCTTCTAGAAGGTGACCTACTCCTACGTGGAGGAGACCTAGTTCTATGTAATCCATCAGTTTATTGACACATCACATGATAAGCGCATTCTAGTCTTTTTAGAACTTGTACTTCTATGTAAGTAACAAACACATATAGAATAGTGAATAGTCCATCAGGTTCCTAACAAAACATTAACTTTAAACAGACAAAAAACCTTTTTATGGATGTTATTTTCAATGATAAGGGCATTTACGTCTTTCTACCTTACAGAATACCTACTTGGGCTTATCTCATCATCATAATCATCATCATATCTACCCCTCCCGTGTCTTCTATGATAATCAGGGCTCCTACTACTGTTGCGGGTCATACTTCTGTAACAATCTCTGTCCCTTCCATAATATTTGTCCCTGCTTCTGCTACGACTTCTCCTCTTGTATCCCCTGTATTCATCTCTATACTTTGAACTACATTGGGTAAACATCAACTCGAATACAAGGGTAGAATGGTCAAAACTACATTCTCATCATACCTTGGTCTAGGAGTTCGGCTCCTTGATCCACCCTTCAGCTTTTCTATTGGTTCAAGTATCCTTCCCTTGTGAGTAAAACAAGAATAAAAACAACCACATTAGCCAAATAACCATATACTTTTTCATATATGATTCTTGGAATTTGGAAATATATTTGATTATATGTGAATGTGACTCACATTTTTTCAGCATTAGGCCCATATTTGGCAAATTGAACCATCATCTCTCTTCCATCAACAACTCTTCCTAAAAGGATTGCCACAAGTGCATTTATTTCAATCCATAAAAGGAAATACATTACAAGAAAATGAAAGATCAAATACTCACCATCAAGCTTTTCACTGCCTTTATCATACTAAACCATAAGTTTCTCCATGTTTTGTTCCTGTTCCTATAACTCAGTTATTTCCAACATAAAGACTATAGAATCATAGCCTACTATATGTATATTATAATGGAATATAAATTAAACAAAGCTATTGTTAAGATATGCAAAAAATAAGAAATAAAAGATAGAAGCTTTTCAGGTGTTAGAGGACCCAATGATGGAACGACTGAACACAAAGTGAAGCTCATCATCATCATGATCATATTATCAAAGTAAAAGCAGAAAGATAAACAAACATGCGCTTCGTCCATAACAGCGAGGTTAAAAAGGGTGAGCAGGGCAGCTTCGTTGGCTTCCAGTGACGGAGAGCAAATCATCGACACAAGGGGTTTAGTTGCGGTGAAGAATTGTCGGTGAAACCGCTGGGAAGTCTTGGTGAGTTGTCGGATCTCATCTAATACTGTCGGAGAGGAGGGAATCCACCGACTGGGCCTCGTTGGAAAGTTTTGGAGAGAACGTCTCCACCGGCTCCCCCCGCCCCTACATACACACACCATCTTCTTCCCCTCTTGCTATTATGCAGAACCCCAAACACCCACTCGATTTGCTGCTTCTCACTTTCTTCATTCTGACAACAACCATATCGTTTGAGATTCCCTATCACCGGAAAAAGCCCAACAGGAAGCCGGAGATCACTGAAGCTGTTCCAACCTCCGACAGTCCTCCTCCACCTCTACATCATTTCCCTGTCAAGTGTTACAGACACAAAGGAAAACAAGGTAGCAGAATCGCTACCACCAATCAACCCTTACTAGCCACCACTTCGTTGCCGCCGCCGCTGTGATTGGTTGTCCCCTCCATCACCGGTGCCAATCTTCCCTTCCCTCTGTCATCCTTTCTCCTCATTAACCATCATGGAAAAGAGAAGGGCAGCAAGCTGCTATCGCAACTCCACTCATTGACAACACTACAGTTGTTGAGAATCTCCGGTCACCACTACCTGCTACTGCTCTGATTTCATTTCGATCACTGCTCCCTGTCGGTGCTTCTTGACCCACTGTTCCCAATCGTGTTTCGAACCCCCTCCCTGTCGGGGCAAGTTCTTGAAAAAGCCATAGCTATTACAAAGACGGAAACTAAAGTGGATGAGTAAAAAAAGGAAGGCGGGGTTTTTAAGTTTTTGGGATTTCATTTTACTCGGATGGAATGCACACGTTATATTAAAATTTATAAAACGATGGTAATAGACGACATGCATTTTATTATAGGTTCCCTCCGTGTTTTTTTTTGTTTGGACACTAATTTTAGGGCACACAAAAATGCTTGTCCAAAATCCTTTAAATTTTGCAAAACTGACATTGTTTTTTAGGGCACAAGCAAATGTGCGTCCTCTATCAGCGAGCGTCATTGTTTGTGCGTCATTAAAGGGTTGTTTTCTAGTAGTGACTGGTATGATAGGTAATTTCGATTAAAATTACTCACCTTATGTTTAGGTTGATATGTATCGAAATTTTAAGTCACCCACGAAACCTTGAAAAAGAAGCCCTTCGATACTTCTTTATAAGTATTCGATTGTATTTCACGGGAAACCACACAAGTAGTTGATCATCTCTCTTGATGATTAATGAAGAAATCTTTGCCCGGGGTTTAACTACGTTTGTGTCGAAATTTTCATTTTCGACATCACAGATTCCAAATTTTTGTTAAGATTGATTCTCATCTTATTTCTTTAGCACACTGCACTCATGAATTCTTGAGGTTCTGAGTTTTACCAACTCAGGCTGATGATTTCGAAACTCTGGAAAATGACTTCGCTTTTCAACCTAAAAGTGAAAGATCCTTACCTCCTAAAGAAGGATAGTGACGGTTACAATTCTCTAGAATATTACAAACAGGCTGTGTGACAAGAGTCTTTGTATTACTTTCGGGTTTCAAGGTGATGTGATGGATGCTTTTTCACGCACGGCTTATTTATCGGCTATACGGTTCGAGTTTCAAGGAGCCACGTCAGATTTAATTTAATGCTCAAATAGTTACAATTTCAAATTTACAAGAAACATATAAAAGGTAGTTTATACATCCTTTTATACTTACGCGTTCAAACTCACAAACGATTAAAAAGCCCTAATTCTCTAATCTTCAAAATTTATGTTCAAACTTTCCAATGATGGCTGATACTCAGAATACTACTACTGAAGAAGTTGTGTCTTAACCAATCATGAAGATTCAAAGCACCCATTATCAGCTTGACGCTGATGTGTCACTCTATCCGGAAGAACTGCAAATGCTGATTGTGGCTCTTCAACACTCTGGTCTTGCCACGACAATGTTCAATGCTTTTGAAGTTCCACTTTCCTGGTTATCAATGGCATATTCTACTGCATCTTACAACAAAGCCACTGATGTCATTACATTCAATCTGGTGAATGATAAACGAGTGAGGCTCACGAAAAACCTTTACTCTAATCTTGGCAATTCCAAATTCTTCTCCATTCGTTCAAGTCACAAGCACTCAGATCATGCATATGTTTAATGAGATGGGACATCAGCCACCTCTTTTCAAAATCAGTAATTTCAAGAAGTCTGGTCTACCCTGTATCTGGAATTTCTTATTTGGCATTTATCTTCGTTGCTTAACTGGGTGAAGTGTGGGGTTAGACAAGGGGAGGATGGAAGTCTATGCTATGGTTGCATATTTATACTATGATTTAAATGTTGCTTATGCTACTCAACTGTGGAAAGAGTTCATCAAAAGTATGAAAAATACAAATGTGGCGAAGGGTATTTCATGTGCAAGGTATTGGAGTCTGATTCGTCAATCTGTTTATCAAAAGGAGGGTATTCCAGTTCTAGAAGATGAGGTTAAGGCAGAGTTTGTCAAATATCAATTTCCAAAAATAGTTGAAGATGATGTAGATATATTTCCAAGTGTTGCTAGAATTCCTGATGGAATGTTAAAGAAGGTTGATCCTACGAATAATATACTGGTGGAATATTTGAAGCATATTAATCCTTCATTAAAAAATGGGGTCTTGTTGAAAACAAGTGAAGGGAGTTCTTCTAATAAAATGAAGAAAGTAACAAACGAGACTACAGATGTTGTTACTGAAACTCCAAAGAAAATCACTAAGTCTCTAAAGAAAGTTGTTTATGAAGTTGCGAAGCCTGAGACAAAACATGTTGCTGAATCCTCGAAGGAAGTAATATCTTCGAATTTTGGGTTAATAAAACATCTGAGGAATTTGTTTTATAAGCATCGATCTTCGTCTGATGATCACTCTCCGTTTGTTCGTAAAGCTCAACTAAATCGCAAAGGAGTGCTTGTTCGATAAATTCTTGCTCCAAGTTCACATTCCTCCAAGAAGCGAAGGGCAGAGGATTTAGCGAAGAAGATAAGAAATAAGAGCAAGAAACGAAAGTTAGTGATTCGTGACTTTTCTTCTAAAAGTGAGATCATACCAGAGACACCATTGGGTTCGACTTTCCAGCTCTTTCATCTCCAATTATCACTTCATCTGTTACCTTGCCTATTTCTACACTTCCACTAGAAGTTGTTGTAACCAAATTAGTTACTGAGGAGGTTCCAACTTCAAACATTGTTGCAAGCGTATCTGATACAGGTGCACATGTTTCACTGAGTGATTTTCATTATTCCAAGGTATTTCAGTTATTGTTTCTTCTGCACCCATCTCCACTACTTCTGTTTCGTTACCACCAGTTATCATTTCTACCATTCCAACATCATCTTCACTGACTTTCACTCAAATACTTAACCAACCATTCACTACATTGTTTTCTTCCTAATCCATTGATCCACCAAAATCGAACGAGCCACCCAAACATCTTGAAGATTCTGACAATGAAGATACAGGGTTTGGAGGAACTTTTGAAGTGCTTGAATTTGAAGATGAGGTGGAAAATTTTCCAGATCATATGTTAATGTCTATGAAGCATTTCAAGATTCTTAAGAAGAAGTTAAATTTGATCATTCTATCTCGGGAGGATATGGGGGGTAGCAATTCTGTGTCAGGTGTGGAGATTAATGGTATGCTTAGAGCAGTTAAAGCCATAATGGTTAGCAAATGTTCTACACTGATTCAAGCGTCTAAATAACGAATAATGGAGAAAGTATATTTAAATGATCAAAATAATGAACTTTGCATCAAATCTCAATCTTCAACATTTAATGGTGAAGTTCAAGATTTTCGAAGGCTTGCAAAAGAAAGACATGTGATGTTTGTTCAAGATGTCAAAAAGGTAAGAGAAGATGTTAAGGTCAAGCTTCAAGAGCTTCAAGAAGACATGACAAAACAAATTGAAGGGGTGCAACATGATTATTCTTCTTTAAACCACCAACTTGACGTTATTTTTTGAGTTTGTTTCCAAGTTTGTAAAGTTATACGAAGCCATGAGTCCACAACTTTCTCAAATGTCTACTATATAATCCACTGCTTTTGCTGAGATCAATAAACACTTCAATTAGTTGAAAGCTATAATATCGAAGTCCAGCTCTTCTCCACTGATAACTCTTGAAGATTTATCTCAGAAGTTTACACTTTCTGAAGCTATTCTATAGAAACAATTGGCCCCTTTGTCAAGAATCTCAAATGTTTTACCAACAGATGCCTCACCTATTATCACATGGGTGCAAGGGGGAGAAACGAAGGTTGGTAGAAATACGAATGAAGAGGCAAAGGTTTTTTTGAAAAGTGTTCTCCATGAAATTACTAACAACAAATCCAACTATTTCGACAGTTGGTCCAGTGAGTTCGACAGTTGTGACTACAAAGCCAATCACCAAAGGTATAGTGATTCGATTATCTGGTGAAGGGGGGGAGTAGTTCGAAACCAAAGGATGTTGATGAAAATCCTGGAAATAAAGATAGAGGAAAAATAGTTGTTGTCAAGAAAGCTAAAGAATAAAGAAAAGATGAAATTGAAGCTGAGATGGAGAAATAAAGAGTAATTCAAAGTATTCTTCAACTCCGTGCTAATGATCCTCCTAGAATGAGTAAGGGAGATCCAAGCAAGCATTAAAAATACAAGACAATCGAAGCAAAAGTGGCTTATAATAAAATGTATGCTTTTGAGAAGAAGCCAAAACAAAGCTATGTGGTTACTAACGCAGATATAAGCCAACTTGATTTTCCAGTGAACAAGATGATGTTCATAATGGCTCAATTCAAGATTGTTGAAAAGTTTAAAAATGAAGATAATGATACCTACATGAAACTTAGGTTTCATGTTGTTCTTGGGAAAGTACCAGAGGAGATATGGTCTTTGGTAAAGATCAAAAAAGGTGCACAACATAACAACAGATGTTTTGTTAAAAAGACATGATGCAGAATTTTCGATACCATGTGACGAGCAAACAACAAAATTTGTGATTTTTCAGTAGCTAATTTTCCATTAATGAACTTCTATGATCTCATACAATTTGCCTTACTTTTGAAAGACAATAATGCTTCACATATGCAAGGAATAGACCCATAAGTGTTTCGACTAGGTATTGCACACATCAAAATATTCATAGATAATTACTATGAATGTTTGGCCG